TCATTGGCTGAAAGGAAAATTCTTTTGACATGATGAAAGTACTGTTACATTAGGGGTAAGATAAAATATGTGTCATAACTATTAAGATTGACAGGACAAATACCCCCTGCTTCCACCTTTTGTTAGAACCAAATATCTATTATATTTTTACAGTAATGATAGACATGTTAATGCAGATAAAGTTCTTTCTGAATAAAGTCAGGGGCAAAAATTCCAGACATACTAAATCCTTAGAGCTGAAGAGTTAAAAATCATATGTAATTGTACAAAGTTTGTTGGACTCAAAAAGTTTGCTTCAGAGAGAAGGATGAACAGACAAACATTTTAACTCCATATCCCCCCCCCATAAAAAAATAATACCAAAAACTTAGTGCGATTATTTCATCATGGTATTTATTGGTAATTTTAATATATAAACCATTGCATTGATATCTGGAACATTTTCAGTATCAGTGTAAAAAAAGCCTCAAAATATTTACAATGTACATTCACCATATTGACTGATAATTAAATAGTAAAAGTCATAATAGTCATTTCAGCATACAAATATACTTGTGACAAATACTAATGATCATAAACCACAACAAAAATATAATTGACTGGATATATGTATATTTCTGCTCTTTGGTCGGGTAGTTGTCTCTTTGACGCATTCCCCATTTCCATTATCAATTTTATATTATATGTTAAGTTCAGGTAATAAAAAAATTTGTATGAGGTTCCGCGGACCCCTGTGTCTCACCTACGATTGCTGTTGTCAGTGTAATGTTGACTTAAAAAGTGAGTCTATTTATCAGTAAAATACAGAATTTAAAAAAAAAATTTCTATAGATGCTATTTCTTGGTCTTGAAGATCAGTTTCTGCTCAAGTTTAATAACAATCCATGGAGGTCTACAAATTTATCATGTCATGGACTGTCTGTAAATGTTAACTGAAAAAAACTAAGTCCATCTATCAGAAAAATACTGAAAATGAAAATATACTTTCAAAAGTTTGCTTCAGATATTATCTCTTAATAAAAAAAAAAACTTCTGCCAAAGTTATGTCAAATTTTATGAAGGTTTGACAAAGTAATCAATATGTAACAAACTTTAACACCAGACTGTACTGTAAAAAAAAGGTCCATTTATCAGAAAAATACGGACCAAATAAAAAGAATATTTTCAAAATTTTGCTCTGGATACTGTATTTAAGTAATTAATATCTGTCAAAATTTCCTAAAATTCCATGAAGGTTTGATAAAGTTTTTGATGTCTAAACCACAGACTAAACCTAAATGTTGCCGCCGCAATCTAGGATCGCTATGCATCGCTTTCGTGACATAAATGTGGCAAGCTCGACAAAAAGGAAAAGAAGAAAAGTTTTGATAAAATTAATGCACTAAATGTATTTACTTTTTGATGTATTTTTTCAGTATTGCATAAAGATGCAATACACAAGACTTGAAAAGCAGAACAATTTAAACCCACAAATTCCATGTTCAATTTAATTGAGGATGTTACTTTAACATTTTATTTAATTCAGGTAAATCATTTACAAACCTTTTAATACACTGGTTATAATTTTTTTGGTTTTTGGGATGAGAAAGACCATACGTTTTTAAATTCCACGACAATTTAATTCTAAAGCAGATGTTTTTAAGATGACCACGGCTTTCCATCCATCTTTAATTCCACCTTTCAGGTTAGTTTTGTTGAACAAATATTACTCCCTTCCATGTACCCCTTTTATCTTTAACACCCTTTCACCCCAATATAGAATACTAAAATGATGTATTGTTCTGACAATATTAGACAAGTTTATGACTTAATGACAAAAATAATCCAAGGAATTTGTGTTCCAAAGAGCGATAACAAACGACATTCACTTCATGTCCTGCGGCAAAAATTCGTTACAGGTAGAACAATTAAAATCTAATTGTAATTTCATTTCCTTGTAAATGACAGAAACTTGTCATTAAAATACGAAAATACCAGTGAATACATATACCTAAATATTACTTGTTTTAATGTCAGGTGGGGACTATAATGATTCAATAAAATAAGAAATGTATTGTATTTTATAAATTAAATACAAACATATCCGTAAAGCCATACTAAACAAGTAATAATGTGTACGAATGCTAACACTAAAGTCTACTGAACACCCATGCTTGCAGGAATAACCCTATATTAAATGTTGGCACCCCTCTTATTAAAACCAAAATGTAGTACCCTTTTTCGAGTCCAATTCAAAACACTGGGCAGGGGATTTCCTGCATTACCCCAATAATATACATTTTTGTAAATATAATAAAACTAACACCATTTGGAACCTTTTATATGCAACAATTTCCCTTTAAGGCCCATTAAAATGTACTTGAACCCAATTTTATAATAATTGTAAAGGGTGCATATCTTATCACAAATCACAACATTTGCTGCAAGCATTAAATATTAAAAAAAAAATCTTATAGGGTTCTATAGTAGCTCCCAACTTTCTTCAGGACCATCTTCTTTAATTCCTACTTGGAAGTAGTTACACTAAAATGACACCAACATATTTTGCTTTTACCAGACAGGGTTTTTGCCCAGAAAAATTAACATTTTTGGCATGATTGAATTTATACCCTTGCCAATGAGTTCTTCATGTACATATAAACAAGAAAAGCCCAAAATGATATCATTTTAACTTTTTTGCAGTATAGAATTTCACCTTGTTTTCCAGAAAGCTGTCAATTCTTTATAATCCATAATAAACTTTGTTGTTGTCTATATGTACAAAGCAAAATCAACTACATATAAAAATTGCTTTACACTTATCATATTTATATATATATATATATATATGTGAAAACGGACTATGGATTTTACACATGACAAGCAAGGACAATACTGTTCTCTATAATGAGCTGTGTATAATTAGAAATAATTTTCAATTCCAAAAGCCATAATGAATTGTCTATTTTTCAACACTCCTCAATCTTTCTGCATCAAAATCCCATATTGCAAAGGATATGTTCCATAAACCCATATCATGCCACTAGCACATTAACCAAGCTTTCATTCCGGAATTAAATGAATATTAGCACACAGTAAAGATATTGATTAAAATTAACGTCCACCCTCAAACAACACGAAGATCTTGTTCATTTATATGCTAATATCTCAATTTCCCCCTCTGTCACCCAAAACTAAGTCTTTATTTTGCTCTCTACAATTTTACCAATAAATGTTGTTGCCATGGCAATTAGTATGATCGATGAAAAACTTTAGACTTTAAATGGGTAGCTAAAATTTGAGGAAAAATGATTCACAATCTTTTAGCATGAAGATGAATGGCACCCATAAAAAAGATGAGAAACCTAACAGCAGCCATTGATCATCTCCAAACAATTATCATTTTAAGATTTCTGGGACAAATTCATCAAGACCCTTTTCTAATCAACATCTAGGGGAAAAAAATAGTTACCAATTGCATTTTCAAAATGAATGAGAGGTTCTTCCCAATTTTTTTTTAAGGGACATTGCTCTCCAACCAAAATTCTTGAATCTTATTTTGGTCACTAATTACTTATATAAGAACAAAATGCCCATCGAAAATAGAGACAATTTATATAAAAACTAGAGGCTCTTTAAAGAACCTGTGTTGCTCACCTGCACCGTAAACAATGGCCACTTTTTTTGTAAAAAACAACCTTAACAGGGAATAACTCTATTATTAGTTAACTGACGATTTCAGCCATGTTGACTTGACGTATTTGTAGATCTTATCCTGCTGATCCTTTTTTCCCTTTTTAAAGTTTCTACTTATCTTTTACAGTTTTTCAGATAATGGGCAAAAAAAAAAAACCTCAAACAATATGGTCAAAATTATCATTAAAGGGCAATAATTCCAATAGCAATTTAACTGAAGATTTAAGCCATTCTGGCTTATTTGTAGATCATGTCTTGCTAATCATTTTTGCTCTTTAAGTTTATAATAATAAATTCTTTATTTAAAGAGGGTAACTCAATTAGAACTAGTCTAGGCCCTAAAACAAAATACATGTACACAGTTAACATTCATACATCAAAATACAACATAAAAATTGGAAAAAAATCATCATTAAAGGGCAATAACTTCAATAGTCATCTGACAGTTTCATCTATTATAGTTTCGAGATAATGAGCAATAAACAAAAATTGGAAAAATTCATTGAGTAAGGGCAATAACTCCCATAGAAAGTCGTCTGACAGTTTTGATGTCAATAGACATTATGTAATCTCATCATTCTGAACATGTTTGCACCTGTCAGATTTTCTCTATTTATGGCTGTTTTCAAGATAACTGGAACTGGTAACATAATTACAAATGCTGTTTTACTAGATGAAGTTTTTGAACAAACAGCAGACTGCATGATGAACCATCAAGAATACATGCATTGTTATGCAAATGATGGAAAACATGAAGTAGGTGTCTGACGGATCCTAAAAATGCTCACAATTTACAACCACACGGTTCAGCTGTTGACCAAATATTACCTTGTTCTGTTTGGAGAAATATATGCAAAAATATAAAGGTCATGCAACAAAATGAAAAATTTGAAGCAAAACAAACTGGAAACAGGAGTCTGATGGATCTGAAAAGTGCTCACACATTTAAACTACATTTTTGTAATCACTGTCATGACTGTCAAGCTACTGACCAAACATGAAACATTACACAAGCAGGAGATAAAATTCATGAAGCAATGTTAAAGATAAATGTACAATTTTGGGGCTTTAATATTTGGTTTTTATTAACAGTTTTCACTGGGTTATGACATCATTTAAAGATAAGCCTAAAAGAGTTTTTTTTAAATGTCATATGGCAAAGAAAATTGAAGTTAATTCAACATTTTACCCTTAATAAATAAATTTTGTTTAATTAGGCCTTTATTTAGCAAAATCCTTTCCCTAATATATACTATAAAGAAACACATACAATATAAATAATTCCTAATATTATATTTTACAATATACAAGAGATGAGAAAATACCTTTGGCTGGCCTTCCCCATCATTAACCTCGACCTCAGAAGATCTTGTATCTCCATCCCAAACATATGTGTATGTATCATCACAATTTTTATCACCATTTATACTATAATTTATGGGAGAATCGTTAGAAACAGAATCAGCAGTTGACCCCATTGCTCCACGCTCATGTTCACGTCGAGTTACTAATTCTCGTAATTCTTTTCTTACGTGTGAGTCAAGGTCATGTCGGGTTCCATTCCTTTCAGAATCTGTTGCCAAGCTGGTTATTGAAAACATTCTATTTTCTCTTTGGACTGGTGTAAATCTCTTTCGTGCTTTGGCTCTTTCCTGTGGTGGACTTGATATACCCATCCCATTTCTATTTAAAGCTTCATTAATTTCCATGGCAACAGCTTTTTCAATTTCCACTTCAATGGGTTCTTTTTTCACTTTGACTAGAGGTAATGGAACATCTTGTGGAGAATTTTGGTCTGTGTTTTGAGTTATTGGAAAATACTGACTAGAGGCACCAGTAAACAGACTGGCCAAGTTGCCATGGTTGCCCTGACTAGGAAATATGGCTGATGGCGAGGCAAGTGGCAACACATGTTGGAATCCTAACGGCAAACCCATAGTTTGACTAGATAAAACTGAATTTGGCAAGCTATTTATGAGTGGGGCAAGAGAATTTGGCAAATTCTGAGTTGGCAAGTTAATTGGCATTGTATTTATAGCACCGTTACTTAAAGCATCACTATTTGGCAGGTTCTTATTTGGTGACATAGTCATTTTTGGTGAATGGCATGGTGATTCTGACTTTCTACCACTAGGTGGAGTTCTTTGGTTTGGCGAACATGGATTATTGCTCTTTGATAAAGGAGAGTTCATGATACTTTGGCTTAGGTTGTAGTTAGAAGCAGCAAACTGGTCATGTGAACCAAGAACTTCTACGAACCAATGATTGACGTAACCAAGTCGCATTGTTAGTTTGACTCTGTAGCTACATTTATGGCCTCTCATTTTTGTCTTGTCACATCCTGAAATTAAAATTTAACATTTTCAAAAATTCATAAATTTAAATGTACAGTAACAAGAAATAAGATAATGTTCTCTCATCAACCTAAAAAAATGACCAATAGGAAATAAGAATTTCTTTCAAAAATGCTTAAAAATTGACAATGCACAAGTTTTTGTTTTTGTTTCTTTAAACATGTTACAAGTTTTTTACACAAAAGATATGAGCAGAGAGGCAAAAAACTGAATTTCAAATTATCCTGTTACAACATAATTAAATTATAAACTTATTTGTAGTACAAAATAAATGCTGTGCAACTAAAATGTCCTAATCTTAAGCTCTTGTCCTATCATTTTTATGAGGATTTCTTCAAAAACTTTTCATAACAGTTGATTTACTACTAAATTATTAAATCAAAATATGTCACAGAATAAATTAAAACCATGTTAATCTTCATCTTTTCTTCACTGACTGCAAATGATGAACTTACAGTAAATCTAACAGAAATTTTCTAAGATTGTGACAACAACCAAAAATCCTGAGCTACCGAAACATCTATTTTTAAGAAGGGAACCCTACAATATATTTTGACCAAGTATATTTGTGTATGCTGCACATTTATGTTGTTTATTTATATGTTACAATATAAATTATTTCAAGCTTTAAATTTGTCATAAACTACCTGGCATACATTCTCCATAGTAACCACAGGCCCTTTTACAGGCTCCAGATCCACTACAATATAGTGTCTCCCTAGCAACCACAATTTGTTTGGCATTTTTAGCACGTCCTGCCCTTATCGTGCCATTCTGCAAGACCATTCGGCCAAATTCTGTCAATGTAAACTGATCGTCTAAAAATGTCTTTCCTTTAATAACTTCCACATAAATTTTGTGTACTTCTCTCCCTTTCCTCAACATATTTGTTCTTTCAAAAGTTGCAACTCCTGACAAATAACTCCATAATTTGGCACACTCCACAAGAACACCTTTCCAGGGTGGGCGTGTCTCTTCTGTTGGTGTTGATGCCTTCTTGGCATCATCTTTCCGTTGTGAACAAGATTCCTCCCGAGTTCCCTCCCATGACTGCTCTGCCTCTTGAGGTGTCTTGCCCTAAAGTTAAGGAGTGCCTTGTCATTAAGATTTCATTGTTTCATCAATGAAAAAAACAAGCATTGTTTTCCCTTAGTATATAATTAAAATTCATTAATTTGTAAAAAAAAAAAAAAATACATGTGGATGCCCCCACTTGCATATCATATAGTTATGAAGGGACATCACTGAAGAACGGTGAAAGTGACGCTACCCAAATTTGAACTTGATCTGAGTTTTGTGGTAATAAGCATTGTGTGTAAGTCTCATAATATTTGGTTGAGGCTAACTTAAGTAGAGAACAGAAACTAAAAATTCAGCAATTTTTCTATTTCTAAATACGCATAACTCTAGAACGGTTGTGTATAAGTTTTATATCATTTGGTTGAGACAAACTAAAGTTAGAGAACGGAAACGAAAAATTCAGCAATTTTTATGTTTATAAAGGGACATAACTCAAGAATGGTAAAAGGGTCGCCACCTAATTTCATACTTAATCTGTATTATGTAGTAATAAGCATTGTGTATAAGTTTCATAACATTTGGTTGAGGCAAACTAAAGTTAGAAAACAGAAACAAAAAAATTTGTACTTGATCTTAGTTTTGTGGTAATGAATATTGTGTATAGGTTTCATAATGTTTGGTTGGGGCAAACTTAAGTCACAGAATGGAAACTAAAAATTTTGCAATCTTTTGATTTATAAAGGGGCATAACTCAATAATGGTTAAAGTGACACTACCCAAATTCAACTTGATCTGTTTATAAAGGGGCATAACTCTAGAACAGTTAAATTGATGCCACCAAAATTAAAACTTGATCTGTGTTTTGTGGTAATAAGCATTGTGTATAAGTTTCATAACATTTGGTTGAGGCAAACTTAAGTTAAAGAACAGAAACTAAAATTTTTTCAATTTTTCCATTTATAAAGGGGCATAACTCTAGAACGGTTACAGTGACGCCACCAAAATTCAAACATGATCTGTTTTTTGTGGTAATAAGCATTTTGTATAAGTTTCATAACATTTGGTTGAGGCAAACTTAAGTTAGAGAACGGAAACTAAAAATTTTGCAATTTTTCCATTTATAAAGGGGCATAACTCTAGAACGGTTACAGTGACGCCACCAAAATTCAAACTTGATCTGTGTTTTGTGGTAATAAGCATTGTGTATAAGTTTCCTAACATTTGGTTGAGGCAAACTCAAGTTAGAGAACGGAAACCAATTTTGGGGCGTATGGATGGAAGTACGTACGTACGTACAGACGGACAAGGGTAAAACTTAATGCCTCCACAGCTACGGTGGGGGCATAAAAATTGGTAACTACTGTGTGATATTTGGAAATGAGAGAACAGGAAAGTTGAAATATATTTTGAAAACAGTCAAATGCACACAAGAAATGCTCAAACACAACATGGTTTAGAATTTTACTACACATGCTATAGAACAAAATTATGGTAATTAAAAGTTTGGCTATTATTATTTAAACCTTTTTAATTATCCTTTTACTCACAAATATTGACATTTTTCAGTGATTTAAATAAGATAAAGCATCTGATGACAATGGCAAATTGACCTATTGCTTTACACTTTTTTTGACTTGCAATGACCAGTGAAACAATCACCCAATCTATTGTCTGTATACATTTTATAAATCTATTTCATCAGGTGCTTCAAATTGGATTAAGAGCCCTTGGTGGCTGAGTGGTCAAAGTAGTTCATCACAGCAATCACTAGCCAGTCAACACTGAAGTTGTCAGTTGGAACTATCGTGGCAGGTAAGTTCCACTATGATCTGCCACTTTTCCCGTTTAACATGTCAAAGGTTGGTGGTTCTCTCCAGGCCACCCCCACTATTTAAAATGACCGCCAAGATATGGCCAAGATGTAGTGGAGTTAAACACCAACAATCAATCAAATCAGATCAAATTTTATCTGCAAAATTGTGTATTTACTTTAGGTTTCCATCTATCTGTAGTATTTATGTGCAGGGACAAGGGTTACAAATGTTTGACAAAATGACTGCTTGAATTTTTATATTTATTTATTTTGATAAATAGATTATATAAATGGGAAATCCTGTTTTCTCAATTACAGTAATCACACTTTGGTAAAAAAAAATGTACACTTCATTAATTAACAATATGAATGTAAGTAAAGTCTTAAAATACAAATATTTGCTCACATAAATAATGAGCACTTTGTCTCAATATCAATTTTTCTAGTACACTTAAAATTCCCATTTTCAAATCTATAATTCTCATACATGCATTTATAAATTTCCACCTATCATTAACATATTCTTGTACAATGTGCTGAGGATTAATGTAGGGTCAATCCAAAAAGGACTGCAATTTCATTGTACATGTTCCATGTATACAAAAATGTATATATTAAATCACATTGTAGGGCAATAACTCTTGCACCATATAGGAGAAAATTTCAGGCATTTTTATTAACTCTAGGTTGAAATGGACTTTTTAAAAAAGCTACACTACTGACAGTTAAAACATGCTTAAATTTAGGGTTCTAAAATTTTCAAAATGGGAACTAAAGCAATCTATAGTAACAAAATATTATATTTACAATAATTACAAGAAAGCACAGATATGCAAATCACAAACAATTGTATACAAATTTTTTAATTCTAAATTTATAAAATTTCCATCAACCAACCTTTGACCTTCACCTCAATCACCATGGCGATCTCCAAGGATAAAATATAGGTCACAAGCTATAGATGCAAAATGTATCATGCAAACCACATTCCATAAAATACATTCTTGAAATTCACCAGACTAGAAAAAAACATGCTTAAAAGTTCCAACAGTCTCATTCATGCACTGAAATAAATGTATACATATAAATTTGTTATCATTTCAAAATTTCAAAATGTAAATAAAATACACATTGGACAAGTACACATGTACAAGTAGTCAACACAAACCACATGGGCCCGTTCAAACAATATCTATTTTTGCCATAGCTGAACTATCCCATGAAAAAAGAAAGAGTTGTTGAACAATGTTGAATGTACATAATTACATGCATGATATATAAAACAATGATTTGTTAATTAGTGAAATTTATTTTAGTAAGATGCGATTTTCATTTATAAGAGCAGATTATCAATAATGTATTGAAAATAAATTTTCTTAAAGTACAGTGTGATGCTTTCAACCAAAAATATTATCTAGCTTTCACATGCAATTGGTAGGCGTAGACAGGGATTTCACCAGTTGCTAACAGCTTTTTTAAAACCCTGACATGCCTGGGAAATGGGGAAAAAAATAAATAGAGTACTGCATTCTCTTAACAAACCAAATACATGTGATATAATTCTGATAATTTCATTATTTATTATACACCTCGATCTCATTTGTTCCTCTCAGGCCAACTTAAAATATATTGTTCAGGATTTCTTTGCCTACCGATATTATTGGCATGATTGGGGAACTACATGTACTGTACTTTAGTCAAGGTTGCTCCTCCTTTTGGTATTTATTAATATTAATCATTATAAAAATAAGGAGATGTGGTATGAATGCCATAAGACAGACTGAAGGATTTGGATGTAAACCAATCTACACTGTAGGTCACCATAGGGCCTACATGATCATCAACAAGCAAAGCCCATGCCATATAGTAAGATATAAAACGTCCAAGCACGTTCATTCTTACTGTTACCTTACGAGAAAACACAAGTATTAAACAAGAGGCTTACCTGTACCTGTATGGCTCGCTCACATTAAGAAAAAAATCGCCATTTAGCTAATTAGGACTTTAATATGCACACATACTATAGTTACTCTTATGTTGCTGATCATTTTTTCATTTACATGTTTAACCTATCTCCTACAGCTTTTTTAGATCACCCAAAACTGCAAAAATAATACAGTAAAAATCAACATTTCAGGGGCATAACTCCAAAAAGGATTCTTAAACATTACTTTCAGGGTAAATAGATCTTGTCATGCTGATTTGATACTTTTTGCAGTTTACACTATTAACCTAACTCCTGTAGTTTTCATGAACAATCAAATCTTAAAATTTATATTTCAGGGGCAATAACTAACAGGTTGACATATTTTTGTGCAACTCCTATTTTCAAGATAACAGCAATAACTGCTAAAAAAAATTTGAAAAATCAATATTTCTCAGGTGCAATAACTCCAGAAAAAGTCATTACATTTTTCTAAGATTTTTGAGGTGGATATGTTCATCTTTTCATGCTGATTATTCCTTTGATTTTTAAAACAGCACCAAGGAAAGGCCAAAAAAGATACAAAAATAAATGTGGATAGTGTCCACATGTATGTGGACACAGATGATGCCCCAGCTTGCATTTCATATAGTTATAAAGGGACATAACTACGTACAGACGGACAAGGGTAAAACTTATAGCGGTGGGGGCATCAAAAACAACATTTCAGGCGTAATAATTTCAATAAACTGCTTCGCTTAGCGCAGCTAGATACGCCCGCAGAGTTCCAGCCCTGAATAGTTGGGGCAAAAATGGACACAAAATTCAAGCTTGATATAGGTCTGAATTTGGATTGTAATTAATTACTTGACATATTATAGGTTTTTGAATAAATGTAGTCAAAGAACTTGAAATTGGTTATATGAATTGAATTTATATTCAATTAAAGATTTCTTGCTGTTGTGCAATACACTGTGCTGTTGCGCAATACTTAGTAAATCTGTTGTCAGACTATAAAAAAATAAAGTTCAACTTCTTCTCAATGTCATATTTGAAATTTATGAAAATCAATAGGGAGATTACATCAATTGCTATAAATAATTCACCAAAGTTTCATGAGAACTGCTGAAAGCATTTTTTGAGTTATTGTCCAAAAACTAGAAAATCCCCCCTTTTTTTAATGAATAAAACCCCATAACTCGGAAATGGTAAATCTGAAATTTATAAAAATGAAAGGGAGCTCACGTCAATAGATATAAACAATTCATCAAAGTTTCATGCATATTGGTTAAAGTTTTTTTGAGTTTATGTCCGACATGTTGACGACGGACGGACAGACGGTCAACGGTATACCATAATACGTCCCATAAACGGGCATATAAAAATGGTTGGCAGATTCATCCAAAATTCTCTTGAGAGATAGAACTTCTTGTAATGACCATTTTTACCGAGTCAGTTTTTCCCTGTTTAAGAAATATTAATCAAAACTGTTGTTTGACCTGTATGTTCTATTTTTAGATAAGGTGGCTATGTTGGTTGATAAACCTGGACAAAAATAACAAACTTTGAAGTTGACATTCTACAGATGAAGCAGACTACTTTGATTTGAATTAATTGAGAAGTTTCAGAGAATATTTTCAAAGAAAAGTTTACGGACAACAGGCACAAACGGATGGCAAATAATAAAGATTCACTGTGTAAGGTTAATACATTATAACAGCACACACTAAATTTTATATTTATGAACAATATGTCAAAGTGGTTTATTTTATTTATGAGGATTTTATACAAATCTATAATAAACCCAGTCAACAGATTGAGGCAACTGAACCAGGGATAGCATTGATTTTTCAGCACTTTCAGAACAACAGCTTTTTGAGAGATTTACTGTTGTTGTTGCTTTATAATGCCTATTCAGTTAACCCAAAATGAAATTGGTGAAATGTGTTCAATCTACATTTAACTAACTTAAAACCTAGAGATGGTAGAAGTACCTAATGTACCTCCACAAAAGTACTCCATGAACATGACAAATGTAGAATAGTTCAATTTTTATACAAATCATTCAGGACAAGTTAAAAATATTAATGTAGTACACAAAGCCCTGGTCCAACCCACAGGACTGTGTAAAGGACACCCAAGTAAAGTCAAAATACATGTATGTTTGTACATGTATGTAAGTGTCCCTTTTAGTAAGTTCATGCTGACTGAAGGGATATTTTTTGTACAGTCATGACATGTCCAAACATTATTGTTTAAGTTGTGTACTTGTTGTAATTTTGTACAAATTATAATTTGTACCAGGTTTTTATACAAGTTATCAGTTTTTTGACACTCACACAATCATCCATCAGGTTTTTATTATCTTCAATAATTAACCAGCTTGTTGTTTTTTACTCACAAATTTGATAAAGTACTGTCTTGTTTGTCATAAAACTTAAAATGTGGGGTTTGCTACCTCATTAACTCTCACAATTCCATTTACAATCATTTTTTATTATTGTAGGTTAATCATTTGTGAGTAGGTACCGCCACTGGCTTTCTTCTGTTTCTTTAATTTGTTATCTTTTTACTCTACATGATAGATTGCATTTAATAGATGTTTATTTATGATATTTTTTTTCATTATGCTGTGCACATTTTATATCTCACTAAAATTTCCTTTCTATGGCCTTATCAATGAGTGTTAACTAGGGTAGATACACAGGTCACCTTATCTACTAATACTGTATGATAATAAACATCTGTCCATGTTCATTTTGACAAGTCATAAATTTATCCCTGTCTAACATCTCTACACCACCCTGTTGTGTACCCCAGGTTCTTTCTATTTGGATTAATGTGTTTAGTAGTCCGACATTAACATTTTAGTAACATTTTGCTAGGGATTATTTTCACATTTTTTGTTTTTTTTCATTAGATTTCAAAACATATTTGTAAACAACAGAAAGTAATGCCTTTGTCATTTCAAGGAAGGATTTAATTTTTAATAGTCTTTTAAATTATATTGCAAATTAATCATGTTTTTTTTTTGCAATGTTTTCAGGTGTTTAAATTTAATTATGAGAATGAAACCTCCAGGACCATTTGACTATTTTCATGTGAAAGTTACCCCTTAACGAAGTCAAAGGTTGATTCCTGTATAATTAGCATTAATGTAGTAAAAGAATGGGAGGTCCTGGACTTTTGCAATTCAAAATGAAATGTTCCCCCTCAGATAAGACAAGCCCTGACCTGATAACAACACTTAAGTGAATCCCTGATTGTTAAAGAAATAAAAAAAATCAGTTATTGAACATTATAGTAATTAGTGATCTTTACGTCCTTATTCCTTTAGCTCCTTTTTCAAACTTTGTTGCATAAATATTTTTTTTTTAATTTGTCTCAAGTTCTGTATTATTCGTTATGTCAAATTACTAATTACATTTCGCTATCAAATTAATATTCCAACTACAATGTACATTTCAGAGCTAAAATGTTTGTAGTAAGCACACAATTGCATGATGATTACTTGTCTGCTTTTACCTATTGTTTTCAAAATTGTTCTTAATTGCAAATATTTAAAATAAAATGCAAGGACTCTCAAACAGATTTTTTTATTTTATTAATTATAATTTATATATTATAATAAAATTTTCTAAACAACAATAAATGTATAAACTATAAAATGCCCTCATCAAGGCCCTCACACAATTCAATCAAATACTTTTAGACATCATGAATATTATTCTATATAAACAACAAAAAACTACTTTTGTCTATGCAATATATATGTTTTGTGTATTTGAATATATACTAATTTTGCTCCGCCCACTTTCATCACGCTTGAGTAAATCAATGATGAAATGGTTGGCGAAGTCACGGGCTATCGAACTCAAAACACCCGAACGGTTACCACCGAAAGGGAATATTCATTGCGATTTTTCTGAAAATTAAATAAATATTAGTTCATGACAAGCCACTAAACAAGCAGTCTACATCATGCAAAGCTTCGACAATCCATACAAATCTACGTGTAAATTCCAGGGTAGTTTATAATGAAACACATGCACACGAGAACAGCTGTACCCCAATCTGATGTACTATCGCGTAATATTATCTAATTAGGACTTAACACTCACCAAGAAAGCTTTAAATAAGTTGTAAAATTATAATATTAAATAAAAATGTATTTGCTTACCTCTTTTGATAAATCTTCTAGGTTAGCGGGTGTTTTACTCGGTTCAATTTGTAATGAGACGTCTGTATCGGGTGCAGCCATGTTTAACACTGACGACAATGTAGTTGTTCCCGCGACCTCTGGCGGCGGGGTGAGAGGCCTAACCTGGGATACCCACTAGGGTAGCCCAGGAATGCAATAAATTAAATGCCCGTGTGTGGGTAAATAAAGTTTTAATATCTGATTTGATTCATATCCGTTTTAAGACTTGTTATTTTTATAGTTGTTATGTACGTAAATGGTTTTAAATAGAAAACACGTGATTGCACAACAAGGTTTATTTTTGTTTGCGGATATATTGTCTACCCTCAAACGTTCCTTTGTAATATAAACTGAAAGTGAAAGCAAAACATGCCGAAAATATCTTGGTTTCGCAAACTATATATATAAACTATTTCATTTACTCCATGTTATTGTTAATGAAAAAAAATTATCCCACACATATAACAATAGTAATAATGGATCAGAACGTTTAAATCCCAAGTTTTTTGGGAACAAAAAAGTTTGACGAATTAAGCTTTTTCCAGTCAGCTATTTTTTAGTTTGTCAGCCGTGTTTCAGGTTTAAAAAGGGGGGTGGGGTGAGCGCTCGATCCAAAACACAAAACATGTTTTACCCCAACCACATTTATTACGTGTCTGTCCGAAGCCAGGTACCTGTTTACTGTGATTGCTTTGGGATTTAAAATGTTAGGTGGGTTGTCTCTTAGTTGCTATTGTTTTGTTTCATTCCGGGCAATCATGCACATTGATACCCTGCTTATTCTTACATTCACCAGCAGTACTGTATAGAGTGGAGATCTTGCATTATGTGTCATATATATTCCTGTTACTTGTCTTCTTTAAATTGCATTTACAAAATGATCCAAAATAAATCGTTAGCTGCGGGGAAACATGATATATGAGTATTTTTTTATCACTGATAGTGCAAAAAAACAGCCAGGATTTGCTTCACAATCTTAAATAATTTCAATTAACGATCTAGGCCAAGATTTTAAAGAATGTTTTGCTGATCTTCTTTTTTTTCAATTTGGTTAAAAAAGCAATAATCAAGTTGAAAGAAATTGTGCTGGAAGATCTTCATTGTGTGTAAATTGTAACTGAAATATATAAGTGACGAATTAACTAAGCTTGGCCTTATCGGTGAATCAGACACCCAGCCGCTGTATCCGAGTTACTTCCTCGTTGTGTGTAGAGGAATTTGATTATGTGGGTAGTATTACCAGCATCTTAAATGGGGTGAACTTGGGGAATTGTGAAGTATATTGGGTTTTATATAACATTTCCTCTTCCTGGTGTTAAAGTGTTTTCTAAGAAGCTTAAGTGAGATTAAAATCTCTAAATAAACATTTAATCGAGTCTGATATCCTTTTAATTATTTTTTTTCTCGTGGTGGTGCCAGCCAAACCCGATCACATATTTTTATTGACCGAGCGCATTGTGGGACATACCTTAATCCGCCGCTGATCCATAACTACGTAAAGTTTGGACACAATTAAGCTTCATGAGTTTTTTCTATCCTTGATAATAATATTTCTAAAGTGTGTTAATTGATGTTTGTGTATGTAATAACTAGGGTTATGTTTTATGAATGCTTTGTGTTTGATGATTTTGTTGATTTTTTCTTTCTTCGTCATTTTAAACTTTCTGTTATTTATTTTGTTTGATCCATTTTAACTTTTTAGTAGCACTTATCTTATGACCGCTGTGAGAAATCGAAATTTAAGTTTTGGCCCGGTTATCGAGGAAGAAGCTTTGATTCCCACGCATCGAAGCCCGGTTATCGGGGTAGAAGCTCTGATTCCCCCCGCATCCGAAGCGAGGACACTATCACTCTCACTCTGTATCAATGTTTGCAGTTCTATAATATATAGTCCAAATACGTAAGAGTACTTTTTTGTGGGGAAAAAATATAAGATAGATTCAGCTCAAATTAATTTTTTTTTTTTTTTTGCTTTATCTTGTTCATAAATATTTCAGAAAAGAACAAAAATAATATGAGATCTTCATAGCAACTTTAGATTAAGATTCAATTCCCATGAAAAGAATCGAAAAAGTCTTTGAAAGATTTCCATTAACGTATGTTCGTTCCGCCTAACAGAAGTTACCATGGAAATTTTGTTAAAAACAATGCCATGATATGTGTTTCTGTCGGAACAAATATTCTATAACCTTTATTCCGTTTGGAACAAATACTGCATGTATAGTATTGTTCCAGTGGAAATGATATTCCAGGATATTCAAGTTGTTTGGAACTAATATTATGAAGGATCTTCAATTACATGACAAACTAAGTCAAGGATACAGTAATACAACAAAGGACAAAACCTATTTGGAAGCGTAAGTTTTCCGCCAAAAGTATAATACACAGAAAATTACATGACGCATAAAAATTGAGCATTATCTATACTCTATAAAAAAAAATATAATAAAGGACTTAAAAAATTATATTGTTTTGATAGAATTCAAATAAAAGTTGGATGGATGTTTAACAACCAGCGCACAATTTTTCAAATGCATTCAGTACCAGAATATATAAAAATAAGAAGATGTGGTATAATTGCCAATTAGACCACTCGCCTCTAGACAGCAAAAGGCATAGAAGTAAGAAACTAAAGGTCATTGACAGCCTTCATGTTTATTTGATATGGAAAAAAAATCACTCTGTACTAAACTGACACGCACAAGAAAGTATCGTATGTGTATAGGTATGAAACAGAAATACAGATCAATCCACGTGGCACACAAACTTTTAATTAACGTGCTAGGTAGAAATGCAGCATATACAAATTTTAAAGTCTTCTGTTTTACCCGACCAAGAATTGAAGTCATGACTTCCCGCATCCGAGGCGAACTTTATTTTTATCACGAGACCACAGAGACGATTTTCCAAGAAATTGAAACTATGTTAGTTTTCTCGTTTGAATTGTTGCACATATTTCATGCGGGGCCTTTTATAGCCGACTATACGGTATGGGGATTTTCTCACTGCTGAAGACTGTGCGGTTGCCTTTAATTGCTTACATTTATTTCATTTGAACTCTCGTAGATAGTTGTCTCATTGGCAATCATACCACATCTCCTTGTTTTCATCCTGAATATAACTAATTAAATATGATCCAACTAACGAAACTTATTTGTTTCTTCACACATAGGTGGGTGTTACCTTTTTGGTGATATTTTTATTACTTAAATCTAGCAAGAATTTTCAGGAAGAATTTTATCATAAAACTCAAAACGGTCCAAATCCGCACCTGATATTTTAATTTCATCGTCTTTCTGCATGAGCTATACTGAAATCCGACCTAATCTGAAACAACTTTACAAATTCGTATGTAGGCATGTCGATCCTTCAGCAAGTTGCCAATATTTAATACAGTTTTATAGTGTTTATCTAATATACGAAAAGTGCGATAGATCTAAGAGGAACTATTTGACACCATAGTCGCAAAGCCACACTATATAGCTAGGTGTATTAAAGGGGGCCTTTTCGTGGAGCTATGATTACTATTTCTTGCAGATAGTTTAAAAATTCTTGAACCGATCAGATCAGAATGAGGACTTTCTATACATGTAGAGGAGAACCGGATCACACTATGATGTTCATTGGGGTTTAATTGGAACAGATGAGGCAATGTCATATGATGTCGCCATGAAAGCCATCACATATATATATATATATATATATATATATATATATATCATCACAAACTGGGGATTTAGTCCTCAAAAAGTTTGAAAATAGTGTCTTAGTTGGTTTAGAGATCAAGAAATTTGAACCTCTCCTTTAAATATGAGTATCTGTTTTCCGCGGAACTGCCACTTTATATCTTTTCCATCGATTCATGTGCAGCTGTTGTGCTGCTTTCATATGCGGGTAACTTATGTTACAAACGACTTAACTACATTTTCTTCAGTTAAGCAGGTGTTTCTTAAACTAGTTATGGTAGAATTTGAATTAAGCTTAATATATGTTAATGTACTAATGTACTGAAATTGTTTCTGGCAAGTTGTATTAAAAACAATACTCCAAAAAATACATTCTTTATTCCCTTCTCTCCCGAACAAACTAGTCTTTTACTTCCTATCAATTCATGTATCTTTTTAACTTATTTTCTCTTTTTCTAATCATATTTCGGTTCTTTTTTTTAATTTTTATTGTCATTACAAGTATATGTGTCCTTCTTTTTCATCTGTTAAGAGAATCTATAAATGAACTAGTCTCCAACTAACTATTCAAACAAGTCAATGGGAGGTAACTCAAAATGTTCACGTGTTCATTCGCTCTTTTTAGAATTATACTGTGATAATAGTTGTTACAGAAACAGAATGCTTTTTAATCAGAAATATTGATAAATTCTTATGTGCACAAAATGTAACGAATACACACATCATGATAATGAATAACGAATTGAGACTAAATAGCGAATCACATGAGACTGAACAACGATTCCACAGAACATGAGACTGAATTACAAACCACGAGACTGAATAAAGAATCATGAGACTGAATAACGAATCACGAGACTGAATACCTAATCATATGAGACTGAATAAAAATTCCATACAACATGAGACTGAATAACGAATCATGAGACTGAACAACGATTCCACACAACATGAGACTGAATTACAAACCATGAGACTGAATAACGAATCATAAGACTGAATAACGATTCCAAACAACATGACACTGAATCCACACAGCTTGAGACTGACTAACGAATCCATACACTGCATGAAACTGACAAACGAATCCACACACAGCATGAGAATGACAAACGAATCCACACACAGCATGAGACTGACTAACGAATCCACACAGCATGATACTGACTAACGAATCCACACAGCATGAGACTGACTAACGAATCCACACACTGCATGAGATTGACTAACGAATCCACACACAGCATGAGACTGAATAACGAATCCACACACAGCATGATACTGAATAACGAATCAACACAGCATGATACTGAATAACGAATCAACACAGCATGATACTGAATAACGAATCGACACAACACGAGACTAAAAAAATGCTACTTTTCCTTCAAACTCATCAT